CACTATGCCTGGCTAATTTTTTGATTTATTGGAGACAAGGTCTCACCAAGTTGCCCAGGCTGGTCTCGAACCCCTGAGCTCAGGCAATCCTTTCATCTTGGCCTCCCAAAGTGCTGTGATTACAGGCTTGAGCCACTGTGCCCAGCCTATCTAATCTACTTTCTATGGACACTAGGGATGGTTCATGTTTTTGCTCTTGTGAATAGTGTGGCAATGAACACATGTATATGCAGGTATTTTTTTTTTGCTGAATGATTTGTGCTCTTCTGGGTATATTCCCAGGAGGGGAAGAATTATCTTTCTCATAAGCCAAAATTCTCTTTTTAAAAAAATGATATTTTTCAGATATCATATATACTGTATCTACTCAATAAAAATAAAACTAATTAGTCTTAAGACTGCATATCCTACAACAAGGGCAATTATCATAGGATAACCTCACAGGATTTTTTTTTTTTTTTGAGTTGGAGTCTCACTCTGTCACCCAGACTGGGGTGCAGTGGCCAAGTAGCTGGAACTACAAGCACGCACTACCACACCGAGCTCATTTTGATTTATTGTAGAGATAGGTCTCGCCAAGTTGCCCAGGCGGGTCTCGAATCCACAGGATCAGGCAATCCACTCATCTCAGCCTCCCAAAGGCGCAGGATTACAGGCTGAGCCACTGAGCCCGGCAGGATTTTTTTTTTTTTTGAGTTGGAGTCTCACTCTGTTGCCCAAGCTGGAATGCAGTGGCATGCTCACGCACCACAACCTCAACCTGTTGGGCTCAGGCGATCCTTCTGCCTCAGTCTTCCAAGCAGCTGGAATACAAACATGTACCACCACACCTGGCTAACTTTTTTGGTTTACTGTTAAGACAAGGTCTCGCCAAGTTGCCCAGGCTGGTCTCAAACCCCCTGGGCTCAGGCAATCCTCTCACTTCAGCCTCCCAAAATGCTGGGATTACAGGCATGAGCCACCACACCTGGCAACCTCACAGGATTTTCATGAACGATTTTTATGCTCTAATCTGCACTAGAATTGTATAAGTAGTTTCTTTATATAAAAGGAAATTCTTTCATGTATTGGAGTTTACTATTTGTTTCACTGAATCACATATTTTTCATAGCAGTAACACAGTAAAAAGTAATATCTTTACTTACTCCCAAAACAAACTGGTCTAAGATATAATAAGTTCTTATTCTGGATTTTAAGAGTGTCAGATGAACTTAAACTGAAAGTATTATTACAAAAAATCATCTTGATTCCTTTAACTAAATCTGTGGTATAAATCCAGTTTGTATTACATTCTGTATACGATACAATGAAAGCAGTTTATTCACAGAATTGATAAATTCATTTTGGCTTTTAAAAGAGTTTGGCCAGGTGCAGTGGCTCATGCCTATAATTCCAGCACTTTGGGAGACCGAGGTGAGAGGATTGCCTGCCTGGGCAACTTGGTGAGACTTCGTCTCTACAATAAATCAAAAAATTAGCCAGGCATGATGGCACATGCCTATAGTTTCAGCTACTTGAAAGGCTGAAGTGAGGCCCGGCTCAGTGGCTCAGCCTGTAATACCAGCGCTTTGGGAGCCCATGGCCTCAAGACCTGCCTGGGCAACTTGGAGAGACCTCATTTCTACAATAAATAAAAAAATTAGCCAGGTGTGGTAGTGCGCACCTGTAGTTCCAGCTACTTGGAAGGCTGAGGTGGAAGGATTCCAGCTACTTGGAAGGCTGAGTGGGTCAAGGCTGCGGTGGCCGGGGAGCATGCCACTGCACTCCAGTCTGGGTGACAGAGTGAGACTCCAACTCAAAAAAAAGAAAAAAAAAAAGTGGTGAGAACTCATCCAATCCCAAAAGTCCTATTAACTGTTGAACAGAAATTATTTATTCAACATTAAAATAAGGTCATCAAAATGCATGTACTTACAATTTGCAGGTATGGTATACTGACATTAAAACTGTCATTCATATTTGCATGCCACACAATTCTCACATTGGTAATAAAAAAAGTTCCTAAATTTCCCTGTAAAATATAGTAATGAGAGAAACAAGAGTGGTTATTTGTTTGGATATCTAGTCTTTATTGTATAAATACCAGAATAATTCTTATTACAGCAGCAAATAAGACTAGAATTGAGTGGTATTGTTGAATACCAATCATTCATTGGACAGCAGATAACTGAGAACCTGGACTCTGGAATAATTACTCCGGACTCTGCCTAATTATTAAGCCATAGGTATCTACCAGCTCTCTGACCTTGGTGTATTTTGTCAAATATAAAATGGAGATTTGGCCAGTAGAGTGGCTCATGCCTATAATGTCAGCACTTTGAGAGGCTGAGACAAGAGGATTGCTTAAACCCGGGAGTTTGAGACTGGCCTGCGCAAAACAGCAAGACTCATCTCTACAAAAAATTTTAAAAAGCAATTAGCTGGGTATGGTGGTGCATGCCTGTAGTCTTGCCTACTTGGTAGGCTGAAGCGGAAGGATCACCAAAGCCCAGAAGGTGGAGGCTGCCGTGAGCCGTGATCATGCCACTGTTCTCCAGAGGTGACAGTGAGACCCCCAACTCAGAAAAAAAGTGATTTGATTAAATAACCCATGTAAATAAAGCCCTTAGCATATGCTAGATCTAACACTAACTCTAACCTTTTTTTTTCGGTGGAAAAATTTCTAAAATTATTATTCAAAACCTGGGATAAGTCAAGGCAAAGAAGTGTGGCCAGAGAAAGAGACACAACACATGTGATAAGTCCCATCAATCCACAAGAGTTATTTTCTGGCTCTTCAATATTTACTATAGATCAAAACTGTTCCGTAGCTATCTGTCCTCTCAATTCTATTCTGAATTATCCCAGAATGATAGCTAAATGTTCTCAAACAAAAAATTTTTCTTTTTTTTTGAGTTGAAGTATCACTCTGTTGCCCAGACTGGAGTGCAGTGGCTGCTCCCGGCCACTGCAACCTCAACCTGCTGGGCTCCGGCGATCCTTCCGCCTCAGCCTTCCAAGTAGCTTGGAACTATAGGCGCGTGCTACCACACCCGGCTAATTTTTTGATTTATTGTAGAGATGAGGTCTCACCAAGTTGCCCAGGCGGGTCTCGAACCCGTGGGCTCAGGCAATCCACTCACCTCAGCCTCCCAAGGTGCGGGATTACAGGCTGAGTCACTGAACCCGGATTTTTTTTTTTTGAGTTGGAGTCTCACTCCGTTGCCGAGGCTGGAGTGCAGTGGCACACTCACAGCCACCCCAGCGTCAACTTGCTAGGCTCCAGCAATCCTTCCTCCTCAGTCTTCCAAGTAGCCAGAACTATAGGCGCACACTACCACACCTGGCTAATTTTTTATTTATTGCAGAGACGAGGTCTCGTCAAGTTGCCCGGGCTGGCCTTGAACCTGCGGGCTCAGGCAATCTACTCGCCTCAGTCTCCCAAAGTGCTGGGATTACAGCCTGAGCCACCAAGCCCAGCGTCAAACAATTTTTAAGACCTAATAACATGGTACCAAAGTGACCTGCCTCTATCATTTAATTATCATTCTCTACCTTCACTTCTCCTCCATGCAACCACACACTGGTCCTTATTTTATATTTTGATGTTGGGCATAAAACATTAATTTACGATCAAACCCAGGAACCAGAAAACCCTCTTCTGGGATGACCAGGTTTGAAGTGTCAGAAAAGATGATCTATTTCCCAATTATAAACAAACAAATGAATATAAGTATATATGTATTTCCCCCCTCTACTCTTATCTATAAGAAATAATAAAAAAAAAAATTTAACCTCATTATTTCTTGCCCAACTCCATAAAGAATAATTCTTTATGTCGTTTTCACTTATTTAGAAAAAGAGAAAAACTTGCAAAACTCCTAAAGACTTTTTAAAATAATAAAAAAGGCATTTTTGTTTTATTATTTTTCAATAAATACAAGTTATGTTGATAATAATATCCCTATTTTCAGCCGGGCGTGGTGGCTCATGCCTATAATCCCAGCACTTTGGGAGATCGAGGTGAGAGGACCACCTGAGCCCATGGGTTCAAGACCCACCCGGGCAACTTGGTGAGACCTCTATTGCTACAATAAATTTAAAAAAAATTAGCCGGGTGTGGTAGCGTACTCCTGTAGTTCCAGCGACTTGGAAGGCTGAGGTGGAAGGATCACCAGAGTCCAGCAGGTCGAGGCTGCGGTGGCTGGGAGCATGCCACTGCACTCCAGTCTGGGCGATGGAGTGAGACTCCAACTCAAAAAAAAAAAAAAAAAATTTATGATTCAGTGCTTAGTAAGATGCTCTTAATGAAAAACCCAGAGAGTTAAGGTGACCTCACACATCTAGTTTATCCCAGAATCATACTATTCCCCCTGTACTATGCTACCCTGTACCTCTTGACAAACTTATACTGATGGAAGAGAACCATGGTGTGGACAGTAAAAAAAGCCTTTTAATCTTGTCTTCAGGGAGCTAAACAAATAACTCACTTGGTGACTCTTAAATTCATTGCTGCAACCATGATAGTTCTCAGTCTAAACTAGGCTGGAAACTATTCTTAGTAAGAAATTTTTCTCTAGAAATTGCTATAGTTACTTATTCCAACTATTAACTGCTTACAGGTTTCAACCGGTCATAATTTCAAGAGCAAATGAAAAGTTACAACAATGGATTTAAGAGTCACCAAGTGAGTTATCTGTTTAGCTCTCCGATGACAAGATTAAAAAGTGTTTTTTTACTGTCCACACCTTGGTTCTCCTCCATCAGTATAAGTTTGTCAAGAAGTACAGGGTAGCGTAGTACAGGGGGAATAGTATGATTCTAGGATAAACTAGATGTGTGAGGTCACCTTAACTTTCTGGGTTTTTCATTAAGTGAAAGGGAAGTGAACTAGATGATCTCTAAGGTTTATCCCAGCTCTAAACTACAGAACAAACTTGCTAAAAAGAACACAAATATAAAATAAAAAATCAGAGTATTAACTCATATCAAGAGTTACTGTGCTAATTTTAACAATTAAGGTTTAATGAACATAACAAACCCAATGATGAATAGAAAAATGATTAGCAAAACACTGTCCCAAAAGGTTCACTAGTTCTTTGCACAATACCTGATCACTGGATAAATTCCATACTCCATTGATTTTATCATATACATGCTCCTGGGGTAATAATCTTAGTTGTTTGTTTTGAATTAGTGCACTTCTCAATTTAAAATCACGATACATTTTAGAAGTTTCATATGCTCTATAAAAAGGAAAAAACAAAAGACCAATCCAAACTGAAAACATGGTTTTCTTAGGTTATGTTTACGTAACTACTAAAACATACAGTCTCTAGTATTGATGTATATTACTCAAATAATTATAATAACAACCTCTATGGAAATCAGTATGGAGATTTCTCAAAGAACTAAAAGTAGATCTACCATTCAATCCAGTAATCCCACTACTTGGTAGTTACCCAAAGGAAGGAAGAGAGATCATTATACAAAAATGACACCAGCACTTGCATGTTTACAACAGCATAATTCACAATTGCAAAGAAGCGGAATCAACGTACATGTGTGTACACACACACACACACACACACACACACACACACACACACACACACACAAAATCATGGAATACCATCCAACCTTAAGAAAGAACAAAATAATGTCTTTTGCAGTGACTCGGATGGAATTGGAGACCATTAGCCTAAGTGAATTAATGCAGGAATGGAAAACCAAATACTGAATGTTCTCACTTACAAGTGGAAGCTAAGCTAATGGTCTGTAAAGGCATACAGAATGACACAAAGAACATTGGAGACTCAGAAGGGGAAGAATGGGATGCAAGGGAGGGATGAAAAATAACCTATTGGATACAATATTCACTAATGGGTGTGGAGTACACTTAAAACCCAGACTTTTTCATCACTACAAAAAGCAGTCATGTAACCAAAAATCATTTGTATTCCTAAAGTTATTAAAATAAAGGTATTAAATTAAAAAATAATTATTATACTAAATTTTTATGTTTTTCTGTTTAAAATTGCATACAATTTATTTATAGAGACCGGGTCTTGCTATATTGCCCAAGCTGGACTCAAATTCCTGGGCTCAAGCAATCTTCCTGTTTCAGCCTACCAAGTACTAGAATTGTAAGTACATGTCACTGCACCTACCTGTAATTTTCTTTCCTTCTTTCTTTTTTTTCCTTTGAGTTGAGGACTCACTCTGTTGCATTGGCACAATTATGGCTCACCACAGCCTTGACCTGCTGGGCTCAGGAAATCCTGAGGCCTCAGCCTCCTGAGTACATGGGACTACAGACACTGCCATCAACCCTGCTAAGTTTTTGATGGTTTTGTGGAAACTATGTTGCCCATAATGGTGCTGAGTTTCTGGGCTCAGGCAATCCTCCCATCTCAGCCTACCAAAGTGTTGGGATTACAGGCGTGAGCTACTGCTCCTGGCCGTATTTTTTAGTAAGTTCTGGCGATTGTAGTTTTTTGTAAACGTTGTCATTTTAGTACAGTAATTACACATTTTATCTCAACAATATATTTTTACATGTCTAATTTTTTTTTTTTTTTTTTTTTTTTGAGTTGGAGTCTCACTCTGTCGCCCGGACTGGAGTGCAGCGGCTGCTCCCGGCCACCGCAGCCTCGACCTGCTGGGCTCCGGCGATCCTTCCGCCTCAGCCCTCCAAGTAGCTGGAATTACAGGAACACGCTACCACGCCCGGCTGCTTTTTTTTTTTATTTATTGTAGAGATGAGGTCTTGCCAAGTTGCCCAGACGGGTCTCGAACCCGTGGGCTTAGGCAATCCACTCACCTCAGCCTCCCAAAGCGCGGGATTACAGGCTGAGCCACTGAGCCAGGCTTACATGTCTAATTTTTAAGGCAATATATGCCATATAGCACAAATGACAGGAAACAGATTTTCTAAACTTAAAAATAATGTGTACATATAACATACATGGACATTTCTTTTTCTATCAAAATGCCTTCATTTTTTTATTTCCCTGTTTTAGTCAAAGGCACCATTACTCATTTGACATAAATAAGAGTCCAATTACCTTTTCTCACTGCAGTCTGAAAACATTATGTTCACATCTACCTCTACACAGAAAGCTAGAATAAATCTGTACCAATTCCAAAAGGGACCCTATGGGAGAAAGGGAAAAGGAGAAGGAGGGAGAGGGAAGGAGGAGGGAGAGAGTGAAAAGGAAGAAGAATGAAATCTCCATAATTTGGTTCCTGATATCTCTCTGCTGATAAATAATAGAGAAAAAAAATCCTGATTAACTTCTGATTAGTTAACTCTAATATTATCCCACATAAAAACAGGCTAATTTATCTGGTTAATAAAATTAAAGTTTCTTAGCCTTAACAACTTTAGAATCTACTTATATGTTATAATATTCATTGTTAAACTTCTGATTATTACTTTAATTAACCTTCTAATATGTGAATTGTGAAAAAGCAGGATTTGAACATTCAGCCTAAATCTTAATTTTCTTTATTGCTGCTACCATCAATACTAACCATTGGAATAAATGTAAACTATTTATGCTATAAATTATTTTGTGGGGAGCAGTATTATTATTATTATTATTATTTTGAATTGGGGTCTCACTCTGTCACTCAGGCTGGAGGACAGTGGCATGCTCCCGGTCATCGCAGCCTCGACCTGCTGGGCTCAGACGATCCTTTCACCTTAGTCTTCCAACTAGCTGGAACTACAGGCACGCGCCACCATGCCCGGCTAGTTTTTTGATTTATTGTAGAGATGAGGCCTAGGCTGGTCTGGAACCTGCAGGCTCAGGCAGTCCTCTCACCTCAGCCTCCCAAAGTGCAGGGATTATAGGCGTGAGCCACTTACCAGGCATGGTGGCTCAAGCCTGTAATCACAGCACTTTGGGAAGCTGAGGTGAGAGGACTGCCTGAGTCCAGGGGTTCAAGACCAGCCTGGGCAACTTGGCAAGATCTCATCTCTACAATAAATCAAAAAATTAGCCGGGCATGGTGGTGCGTGCCTGTAGTTCCAGCTACTTGGAAAGTTGAGGTGGAAGGATCATCTGAGTCCAGCAGGTAGAGGTCGTGATGGCCATGAGTGTGCCACTGCACTCCAGCCTGGGTGACAGAATGAAACTCTAACTCAAAAAAAAAGAAAGTAGTGTCTACTTTCTTCACATTATGATTAGGACTTTTCATTTCATAGGATTTCTCAAAGTAAAGTGAAATAAAGGTTTAGGTATATGCCCAAGAGAACTGAAAACATGTGTTCACATAAAAACTTGAACACAAATGTTCACAGCAGCCTTATTCATAATAGTTAAAAAGAGGAAACAATCCAAATGCCCATCATTGATGAACAGATTAAACATATGTGATATATCCATACAATGGAATATTATTCAACTACAAAAAGGAATGTAGTACTACTGATACATGCTATAACATAGATGGACCTTGAAAACATTATGTATCTGGGAAAGGTGGCTCACGCCTATAATCCCAGCACTTTGGGAGGTCAAGGTGAGAGGATTGCCTGAGTCCACGGGTTTGAGACCAGCCTGGGCAACTTGGTGAGACCTCATCTCTACAATAAATCAAAAAATTAGCCAGAAGTGGTGGCGCGCCTGTAGTTTCAGCTACTTGGAAGACTGAGGCAGAAGGATCATCTGAGCACAGCAGGTCAAGGCTGCAGTGGCTGGGAGCATGCCATTGCACTCAAGCCTGGGCAACAGAGTAAGACTCCAACTCAAAAAAAAAAAAGTCAGGTGTGGTAGTATGCTCTGGTGGTTCCAGCTACTTGGAAGACTGAGATGGCAGGATCACCTAAGCCCAGCAGGTAGAGACTGCGCTAGCTTTGAATGTGCCCCTGCACTCCAACCTGGGCAACAGAGTGAGACTGACTCAAAAAAAAATTAAGAGAAAAATAAGCCGAGCTCAGTGGCTCAGCCTGTAATCCCAGCACTTTGGGAGGCTGAGGTGAGTGGATTGCCTGAGCCCGCGGGTTCGAGACTCACCTGGGCAACTTGTGAGACCTCATCTCTACAATAAAATCAAAAATTAGCTGGGCGTGGTAGCGCGCACCTGTAGTTCCAGCTACTCGGAAGGCTGAGGCGGAAGGGA